GAGGATATAACCCTTGTAAACATATATGCACCCAATGCAGGAACACCTAAATACATAAAAAAAAACTCCTGGAAGATATCAAGGAAGAGATCAACAACAGTACAATCATAGTAGGGGACTTTAATACCCCAATGACATCACTGGATAAATCCTCTAGACAAAAAATCAGCAAAGAAATAGCAATCCTAAATGACTCACTAGATCAGATGGACTTAATTGACATCTTCAGAACATTTCACCCCAAAGCCACAGAATATACGTTCTTCTCAAGTGCACAAGGGACATTTTCAAAGACAGACCACATATTGGGTCACAGGCAAAGTCTCTCCAAATTCAAGAAGATTGAAATCATATCAAGCATCATCTCAGACCACAATGGCTTAATATTAGAAATAAACTACAATAGAAACAATCAAAATAATTGAAACACTTGTAAGCTGAAAAGCATGCTGTTAAACAATGATTGAGTTACCAAAGAGATCGAAGAAGAAATTAAAAACACCCTGGAAATGACAATGAAAACACAATAATCCAAAATCTATGGGACACAGTGAAAGCAGTCCTGAGAGGGAAGTTTATAGCTCTACAGGCCTACCTAAAAAAACAAGAAAAAAATGGTAATAAATCATCTAACTCTACAACTTAAAGAATTAGAAAGAGAGCAACAAGAAAAGCCCAGAGTGAGCAGAAGGAAGGAGATAATAAAGATCAGAACAGAAATAAATGATATAGAGACCAAAAAAACAACAACAAAAAAAACCCAATACAAAAGATCAATGAAACCTAGAGCTGGTTCTTTGAAAGGATAAACAAGATTGATGAACCTCTAGCCAAGCTCACCAAGAAGCAAAGAGAGAGGACCCAAATAAACAAAATCAGAAATGAAAGAGGCAAAGTAACAATCAATTCCACAGAAATACAAAGGATTGTTAAAAAATACTATGAACAACTCTATTCCAACAAACTAGACAACCTAGAGGAAATAGACATATTCCTAGAAAAATACAACCTTCCAAAACTCAATCAGGAAGATTCTAAAAATCTCAATAGGCCAATAACTATGGAGGAAATTGAAGCAGTCATCAAAAAGCTTCCAGCAAACAAAAACCCGGGGCCAGACAGCTTCACAGGGGAGTTTTACCAAACATTCCAGGAAGAATTAAACCTATCCTTCGCAGACTATTCCAAAAAATTCAAGAGGAAGGAACACTTCCAAGCTCATTCTATGAAGCCAGCATCACCCTAATACCAAAACCAGTTAAAGACAACACAATGAAAGAGAATTACAGGCCAATATCCCTCACGAACATAGATGCCAAAATCCTCAACAAAATTCTAGCAAATCGGATCCAGCATTACATCAGAAAGATCATACACCATGACCAAGTAGGATTTATCCCAGGGATGCAAGGATGATACAATATCCGCAAATCAATAAACGTGATACATCACATAAACAAACTGAGAGATAAAAATCACATAGTCATATCAATTGATGCAGAAAAAGCATTTGACAAAATCTAACACCTTTTCTTGATAAAAACCCACAGCAAAATGGGAATAGAGGGATGATACCTCCACATAATAAAAGCCTTATATGACAAACCTACAGCCAACATCATACTCAATGGGCAAAAACTAAAATCATTTCACCTAAGAACAGGAACGAGACAGGGATGCCCACTTTCACCACTCCTGTTTTACATAGTACTGGAAGTGTTAGCCATAGCAATTAGACAAGAAGAAGAAATAAAAGGTATCCAAATTGGAAAAGAAGATGTAAAACTGTCATTATTCGCAGATGACATGATACTGTACATAGAAAACCCTAAAGACTTCATCAAAAAATTATAAGACTTAATAAATGAATTTGGCAAGGTAGCAGGATACAAAATTAATGCCAAGAAATCTATGGCATTTTTATACACCAATAGCGAACTCATAGAAAGAGACACTAAAAAAAAAATAATGCCATTTACCATCGCACCAAAAAAAATTAAGATACCTAGGAATAAACTTAACTAAGGAGGTAAAAGACCTGTACTCTGAAAACTACAGGACACTGAAAAAAGAGATAGAGGAAGACATAAACAGATGGAAGAACATACCGTGTTCATGGATTGGTAGAATCAACATCATTAAAATGTCCATACTACCCAAAGCAATCTATAGATTCAATGCACTCCCCATTAAAATACCAATGGCATATTTCACAGACATAGAACGAACTCTTGAAAAAATTCATATGGAATAAAAAAAGACCCCAAATAGCTGCAGCAATCCTGAGAAAGAAGAACAAAGTAGGAGGGATCTCAATACCAGATATCATGCTGTATTACAAAGCCACTGTTCTCAAAATTGCATGGTACTGGCACAAGAACAGACATATAGACCAATGGAATAGAATAGAGAACCCAGAAATCGACCCAAACCACTATGCTCAATTAATATTTGACAAAGGAGGCAAGAACATACAATGGAGTCAAGACAGTCTCTTCAATAAATGGAGTTGGGAAAACTGGACAGATACATGCAAAAAAAAATGAAACTAGACAACCAACTTACACCATACACAAAAATAAACTTAAAAATGGATCAAGGACTTAAACATAAGACGGGAAGCCATAAAAATATTAGAGGAATCGGCAGCAGCAATATCTCAGACATATGCCGAAGCAGTATCTTCACTGATCCAGCTCCTAGGGCAGTGATGGTGAATCTATGACACGTGTGTCAGAGGTGACATGCGAACTCATTTTTTTGGTTGATTTTTCTTTGTTAAATGGCATTTAAATATATAAAATAAATATCAAAAATATAAGTCTTTGTTTTACTATGGTTGCAAATATCAAAAAATTTCTATATGTGACACGGCACCAGAGTTAAGTTAGGGTTTTTCAAAATGCTAACACGCCGAGCTTAAAAGGTTCGCCATCACTGTCCTAGGGCAATAGAAACTAAAAAGAAAATAAACAAAAGGGACTACATCAAAACAAAAAGCTTCTGTACAGCAAAATAAACCATCAACAAAACAACAAGAAAGCCCACTGCATAGGAGAACATACTTGCCAATGTTATCACCGATAAGGGTTTAATCTCCAACATTTACAGGGAACTCATACAACTGAACAAAAGGAAGATAAACAACCCAATCAAAAAATGGGCAACAGACCTAAATAGATACTTTTCGAAAGAGGACATAAGGAAGGCCAAGAGACATATGAAAACATGCTCAATGTCACTAATCATCTGAGAGATGCAAATCAAAATGACAATGAGGTACCATCTCACACCTGTTAGAATGGCTATCATCAACAAATCAACAAATGACAAGTGCTGGCGAGGATGCGGAGAAAAAGGAACCCTTGTGCACTGCTGGTAGGAATGCAGACTGGTGCAGCCACTGTGGAGAACAGTATGGAGTGTCCTCAAAAAACTAAAAATGGAACTCCCATTTGACCCAATGATCCCACTTCTAGGAATATATCCCAAGAAACTAGAAACACCAATCAGAAAGGATATATGCACCCCTATGTTCATAGCAGCACAATTTACCATAGCTAAGATTTGGAAACAGCCTAAGTGCCCATCAGCAGATGAGTGGATTAAAAAACTGAGGTACATCTGCACAATGGAATACTACACTGCGGTAAAAAAGGAATTCTTACCATTTGCAACAGCATGGATGGAACTGGAGAGCATTATGCTAAGCAAAATAAGCCAGGCAGAGAAAGCTAAATATCACATGATCTCACTCATTTATAGAATATAATAAACAACATAAATTGATGAACAAAAACAGATTCAGAGACAGAGAAGCATTGATCAGATCGCCAATCTCAGAGGGAAGGTAGGGGAAGTTGGGGGTAAGGGGGAGAGATCAACCAAAGGACTTGTATGCCTGCATATAAGCCTAACCAATGGACACAGACACCAGGGCGGTGAAGGCATGAGTGGGGGGTGGGGGATGGTGGGGCAATGTAATACCTTAATCAATAAAGAAAAAAAATTTTTTAAAGTAAAAGTTTCCTCTAAATTTGCTCTAACCTCCTTCAAAATAAAATTATACAATAATACTCTAATCACTACAATTATGACTACAATGGGCCAGGCTTGATTCTAAGCACTTTACATGTAATAGCACACAACTCCTCTATCAAGTAGCTACTATTATTGTCCCCGTTTTAAAGATAAGAAAATTCAACAAAGCAACTGACATATCAATTTAAATTATTATTGAACTGTTAAAAAAGCATTTATTTCATTGTACATTAAAGAATTCCATGAAGAGTGGAACCCTGAATTGGGTTTTTACGACAACAGGCTGGGTTTCTTCATGGGCAGGGAACTGGCTATGGCATAGTGCCTTGTTTAATACTAATCCAAATGCTGTGGTTGAATACATTGCTGGTGATGAAAATTTCTGAAATGATCTTTCCAGTTATTCAGCAGTAAAGTTATTCTAGGTCTCCAGATATGACTAAAATCACTTTGATGATACTTAACCATCATGAAGCCTTACCCTTGTTAAGATATACAGGGGACAAGGCAAAAGCTAATTACATATGTTCATGTAAGGAAAGATTTTGCTATGATTTGTGGAGATCTATACTTAACTAAGAATATTGTTTGTTAGACAATCATTTCATTTACCGTTATTTTACGTAGAAACATAACACTAACATAACCTTACATTATAAAATCAAAGTTACACAATTCATAAATAAGAATACAACAAATAATTTATGATTTCTGAAAAGTAATCCAAGTTTGGACAAAGCTTAAATATTGTAAAATGAAAGTGCTAACTTTTATTTAGAAAGGAAAATTTGTCTAAGTTCACTGCACTGGACCCCCTGCTTCATCAACCAATTTCCTTGTTGACTCTTACCCACAATCCTGAAAATAACAAAAGGCTTTAGTGGGGAGAAAGGGGAAGAGAAGATAGAGAATTGTAAAGCAGCTGGTCCTGATTCTTACTTTATGACACTTAAGATTACCTTGATTTCCTGTGGAAGTGTGAGCCACCGCACTCCAGGGAGATTGTCTAAAAGAACTGCACTGGAGGCCTCGTACTGCTGGGCACTGGGACTGGCCCTGCCGTGCAGCTTGGCAGGCTGGAGGGCTCTTAGAAAGAACAGTTCAAAAAAATGATCCAACCGAGGAGCATTCTCAACCTGGCAAAAGGCACTGAAGAACCAAGAGCTCTAAGTTAGAACAACGCGTGGAAATAAATGGTGGTCATCTTTTGTGTGCTGCTAAGAGGGCTGGATCTTTCCCAACCATATAAGCTCTCTTCCTTACTCCTGTCTCTTAGTAAGAATTACTGCTATAATGTTACTGATGGAATGTGTTAAGAAATTTACCCTGTCAATATATTTTACCCTAAAACCTATTCTCAAATGCACTGAGTAGTGGTACTATGGAAGAACCACATGCTAAACAAGTGGTATATCTACAGCAGAATGGGCTCAGGTGCCCTTTTTGTAAAAAATGTGAGTTGTTTTTACCTCTCACTATCAACCATTTACAACTCTCAATATCTTTCAGGCAATATGGAAAAATAAAGAGATTTTGAGCTTTGTAATATGGCTTCGAGTCTTATCACAACAGTTACTAGGTAGGTATCACAGGAAAATAATCTAACCTTTCTCTGAACTTTGTTTCCATCTCTGTAAAAATAGGGATAGTACAATCTAATTCGCATTCAAACTATCTAATATATAATTAGTATAAGCACGTATAAGGCTCATTACTTAGTAAGCACATAAATTAACCTAAGTTATTTCCTCCCCTCTTTAATGAAAGCATAACTATTGAAAAATTCAAAAGAAGAGAGAGAAACTTGGGTTTTAGCCATGTAAAATAATACAACATTGCCTGCAACATTCATTGGAATAGCTCACTGGATAATGTAATTGGTAATATTAGCAGAATACTACTCACTGATTCATTCAACAAATTACTTGAGTGCCTCGTATGTTCTTGGTATTTTGTTCTTGTCTTTTGTCTTGATACTGTTATTGCTGTACAGCAGTACAAATATCAAGACAAAAACAAGGTCTCTGCTCCTATGGAGGTCACATTCTAGTGGAGAAAGACAAGTGAACAAACAGTAAAAACATGAACACTTACAAAGGACTGTGCATAGAACAGGGCCTTGTGAATGTGTGATGTAACTGGTTGGCTAGTTTAGATCAAATGGTTGGAGAAGAGTCTCTTAGAATGGGGCATTTAAGCTGAGATGCCAATGTCAAGAAGGTCCAGTGGGAGCAGAGTGCAAAAGCCAAAGGGGGGAAACAAGGTTGGCCAGGTGCCTACAGAACGATGCAGAGGGGTGGGTGTGGTTTGAGATCCAAAATCAGAAAGGTAGGTAGGAGCCAGATATTGTAGAAAGATCACTCTAACTGCATTTGGAAATTAATTAAAGTGGACTTGACTTGGGGTTGTGAATATACAACACAATATACAGATGGTCTATTATAGGACTGTACACCTGAAACCTATATTAACCTACTAGAGGCCTGATGCATGAAATTCGTGCAAGAGTAGGCCTTCCTTCCCCTGGCTGCCAGCACCGGCTTCCCTCTGGCACCCGGGACCCGGGCTACCCTTGCAGCCCCGGCTTCGTCTGGAAGGTCGTCTGGAAGGATGCCCAGAAGGACGTCCAGTCTAATTAGCATATTATGCTTTTATTATTGTAGATATCACCCCAGAAAATTCAATAAAAAATTAAATTTGAAGAAAAAGGGAAACTAATTAAAGTGGCAACAATGGAGGCAAGGAAACCAGTTAGGAGTTTACTATAGTAGTGAGAGATGGCTATGGTTAGAGAGGGTAATAGTGAAGATGGAGAGAAATTGATGGATTGGCTGATATGGACTTGCTGATGGACTGGCTGGGACTGGTGAGGGAAACTGTTATATCTTTAATTTGATCACAACACTAAACTTTGTTCATGTACAATCAGTTTTCTGTGGCTCAAAGGGCCTTTCATAATTAGAAAATATCTTGTTATTAAAAATTAAAAATTATTGCAAAATGACTATTAACAACATATTGGATACATACTGCTTTTTGGTTTTAAGAACTCAGTGGATCTTCACCTTTCAAATTCCCACTTGAACAAGAAGAAACTAGTTCAGTTTGTTGCCATCTTGGAAATACTTCCAAATCAATGGAAGCTAAATTTCAAGATGAACTTCAGAGAAAGTAAGAGTACCTCTGCCCCCAAACTACTCCATCGAAATCTGCAGAACAACTCCAACTGATCATCTTCATGAATAGAATTTATTGCAGGAGTTTATTCTTTGATTATCTCTGGTTTTATGAAAACAGAAAGCTTTAATTAGGGTAAAACATAGCAAGCTTTGCTCATCTAGTGTAAATGTATGGAGATAGTTTATAACCGCATCCTTACACTTCATTGGTTAAAAATGTCCTCATTGATAAACGGTAAAAGCCTTGTTTGTGGCTGCCTGGCTTTTTGTAGTTCACACTTTTGGAAAATGCTAACAAGTAAGTAATTGAGAGGAATGTGTCTCCTAAGCAGCTGTTGGAGAACACTGCAAACCAGACAATTTTCCCAGATGGCACAATCACAGAAAATCCCTTAGACTGCTTTGAGAACAGGGACAGCAAAAATCTACATAGAGAAGCAGAGAGCTGATACTACTGGGTTTGGAAAAGTATATAAACTGGTTGATTTATATACTGATAGACGGTGAAGACTTTGAAAGCAAAGGTATCATTTTAGCTCTTTAGGTACTGGGACTTATAAAAATCCCACAAAGAGAAAAATCTATTTTCCATCATAATTTTACTGTTAAAATATTGAACAGTTACCTCAACTATCCTTCTTCAGATCAAGAAAGATGCATCACATTATGGGGTAAGGTAAAAAAGCAAGAGGCAGAAAAAAATATATAGTATGAGCCCACATGTGGTTAAAAAGAGAGTATTCATATTATATAGAAAATACACGGAAAGATACATAGGAAACTAAATAGTCTATTGTGATTTTTTTTTATTTTAATAGTGCATTCATTTTTACTTGAAAAAAATTTTAGAAGGAAGTATCACATTTTAGGATAGTGAATTTGACACTGGTATTGTAACCAGAAAAACGCACACATAAAAAAACAACAACACTTAAAATCTTCTGTTATGAACAAATGCTCTTACGTTTACCCCTACAGAAATATATCAAATCAAAATATAATTGTGGTTCATTACTATTTCACTAAAGTAACATATGAGACCAAAAAAAGAAAAAGCAAGGGATGAAATGAAAAACTGCTTAGAGCTATAATTAAAAGCCAGTAATAAAGGATGAGAAAATAAGAAGGAGGGGAAAAAACAACCTCAAACTACTAACTTGCCAATGAAGGAATAGTAGTAAGTGCAAGAGGTGATTTAGGCTTAGACACTTAAAACTTGAGATTCAATTCAAAGAAGTACTTACCTATCTAAAGAACCATACATAAATTTTAAGGTTTGGGCAACATTTTCTATCATATTCCTTAGCTGAGGAAGAGGAACTCTAAAAAAGGTAAAAACATTTGTTTATTTGTAGCATAACCAAATGATGCATATCTGAAAGAAGCAGACCAAGTTTGTAGCCTCTGCCCAGTTCCTTAGCTGGGCTTCCTCTCCCCTTCCTCATGGCCTACGCTGCCTTTATCTTGACATTGTATTTTGTTTTTCTTTTGCCTTCTGGGATACTAAAACAATAAAGACAAATGATTTACCCTAAAGTATCTTATTATGGATGTCCCACAATTTTTGTAAACCCACACTTGCAAAACAACCCAGCTTTTCATAATCCAACCCACTGGCCTTGGGCAGTCTCCTAGCAGGGTCCTGTGCTATTTTATACAAGCTACTTGAGCATCTGTGGATTTTGGTATCCATGTAGGGTCCTAGAACCAAAACCCTGCAGATAACAAGGGACGACTATAGTCCCCTTTTAGATAGAAAAACACACATTAGTTTGTTAAAGAGAGCCATCATTTAGCGTATATCATAACACCATTATCCCATCGTGTTAAAATTTTGAACCCCACATTTATGATAGATCATGTCTCTGGTGAAAACTAAAGTCACCTTCAAAACATCATCTATTTAATATTTTTCACTGTAGCCTACTTTGGAATTCCTGTTTGTGATGTTAAACATGCCCATAAATTGTCTGATACTCTTCCTCTCGAGATGGAGCTTAATTCCTTCCCTTTGAGTGTGGGCTGGACTAGGTAACTCACTCCGACAAAGAATATATATAGTGGAAATGATAGTGTCTCAATTCTAAAACTAAGTTAGAAAAGGTCTTGCAGCTTCCCCCTTTCTCTATTTTGGATCTTGCTGTGGGGTAAGCCCAGGGACATGCTGTGAAGAGGCTCAAGCTATCTGCAGGTTTTGGTTCTAGGACCCTTCATGGATATCAAAATCCGCAGATGCTCAAGTCCCTTATATAAAATAGCACAGGAGACTGCCCAAAGCCAGTGGGTGGGATTATGAAAAGCTGGGTTGTTTTGCAAGTATGGGTTTACAAAAATTCACAACACATGAACATATAGTTATTGTACTAGTCCAACAGACCTTTAAATCGTAAAGCTGTTTAAGGAGTTTGCCTTTTGACGAAAATGGCATAATATTAATGAAACAGACTACGTTAGCAGTATTTGAGAAATGACTGTAAGGTCAATAAAACCCTCAACTTACTCTTCAGCAGGCAGGCCAATTAACAACAACTTGTCAGATTCTTTCCAATAAGCCACATGAGTTTGTTTCCCATTTAAAAGAAGGGACGAGCTAAGAAAAAATAAAGTTAGAATATCTTTAAATGTTTTAAGATTATAAAGTCATTCAGAAAAGACTGCATGGTATGATTTAAGAACTGCATGCCTAATAAGCACATTTCTTGGCATATCCCTAACTGCCACACAGAAAAGATAATCGTACAACAAAAATATATTCTGAAGTAGTTTTTAAAAACCTCACAAAAACTCAAAACAAAAGTATACCCATAACAGAAAAAAAAGAAAGAAAGAAAGAAGAAAGCTTCCATCCCAGTGTGTTAATTTAATATATCAGGTCTGATGCCTGCGTATGAACTTGCTTTACTAAAGAGATTACAAAAAAAGGAAGACATGGTCCCAGCTTATAAGGTGATATTCAATATGGGACACAGCTACATAAACAAATAAACAAAATCTAAGTCAGATTTAAACAGGTTCCTTAAGGACACTGTTGGAGTGATGTCATTTTTACCAGAAGATGGAAAAAGAAAAGTTAAAGCCTAGAAAATCCAACTTGACATTTTATCAGTATTTTAGGCCTCTTAAAATTTGAGATAAACTATTTTTGTAAAGTCAAAGATTGTTGAAATATTAAGGAAGAAAATAGCTTATACTTCAGAGACTTATTGTATGAAAGAAAAACCAATCCCAAAACAAAACTTAAAAGCTTTTGAGCCTCCTCTTCCCATAAGTTAACTATGGCATCTCAAAGTCAGGGCTGGTTAAGTCAGTGTAGAATGGTATACTTTGTTGTATAATTGACTATATGATGTATTTTATTTTTCCAAAAATTATTTGATATCAGTCTTGCTTATCCATCACTGAAAAAATGTGCACAGACAATATTGCATTCTAAATATGCCTCCTAAAGTATATTCTGTATTTTTCTATCACTGTTGCAAGAATCATAAGAAAAATAAGCATTTAGTCATTCTTACCAATCACAAAGTATTACCCACCCAGCAAGTTACCAATCAAGATAAAATCATGAAAAAGCCAAAACTCATCATAATACCATGCTTAAGAGATACCACCTTCATAAAATAAGTTCTAAAGTATAGGTCACTGGTCCAACTTTGTGATTTGAAGTGTACCAGAACACCCAGATCTACAGCCATATTGAGAACCGATACTTTAAAAAGATGACTGGTAGAAATAACTTAGGTGAGAAGCAAAGTATGCAGATATAGCTACATTACAGATACTAATATATTTGTATAATAGATATTTCTATTAGCATTTTGTAAAAATCAAGGTAAAGAACTTGAAAGAAAAATAATTAAAGCTAAGTAAAAATCAATTATTACCTAGTAACTTGTGTCCCAGTTACATTTTCCAGCATGTCACACAGCGTGAGAAATATCCCTCTCACACTTTTAAGTTTCTGAGATGCATCAGACACTGGGTAATGATAAAGAATTTCTTGCTGTTAAATGAAAACAAACAAACAAAAAAAAATGATCACACTCCTCAAATTTTCCATTCATTATTTTTTTGTCATGGAAAGTTCAGTTTGTATTAAGAAAAGAACAACAATAAAAAGAATCTTTTCAGTTTCAGTAGTTTTACTCAAACATAAGAAGAGTATATGCTTAGAATTTTAACGCAGTTGAAAATATAAGAAATATAAGTTAGAGACTGTCAAAATTGGTCATGATGTCAAAATATATACTGAATAGGACACTAATTAGTCAGAATAATTTCAAACAATGTTTTAAACTTTAATCCCCTTTACAATAAATTCTAATATGAATATTTTATTATATTTCATTATACAAATATTTTTACACATATGGTATCTGTGTAGATATCATATGTAACTTTTAGGAGTCCTTAAATTTAATTACTTTCATACTGACTTTAAAAGGATCATCTTTGTCATTTTTGGTGAATTTGTTAAATTATTAAATCTTTATTTAACCCCCAAACAATACTGAAATTAAAAAGTGAGAACACAAAACTACATTAGAGTAATGCAGATAGGAAGAAAGAAACATTATAATATTATAAATTTTGAAAGGGTTTTCCTACCACAAATTAATCTGAATGAAGTCTTTAAAAAACAGCACATTTTAAATTATGTAAAATACTAGATCTATAGGATAAATCTCAGAATGCTTACTACTTTTCAATTTTCAAGAAGAGCCTGTTCCCAGGAAACATGAAGTTTTAACAAAATAACAAATTTCAAAATCAGGATGTGCACTGTGCTAGAACTTTTACCAAAGGGATGAATCATTCTGGACCTCACTTTTTTGCTGTTACTTAAAGCAACATGACATTTTTCTTACAAGGCAAATAAAAAGCAGGCAAAATACAAATTTCCAGATAGAAACCTTGGAGAATTCAGAGTAGTTTCCACTAATACTGTTTAATGGCAATATGCATAAATATTAATAGAGCCACTATTGAAAGCCCAAACTCTTATAATATTATCAGATATTTTCCTTGGTTCTCTCAAGACTGTTCTACTTCTTGCTTTGGTCTCTTTTTACAAGAAGTAATTATGTGACATGGTATGTATATTTTGGCAACTTTTACATTAGGACAAATATAAATAATGACAAACTACACACATCTGCTTTTTGTGCTTATTAATAAACACATTCAATATATGCAAATTGCTATGGAATGTGTTGGCCATACACTCTGCCTTAACAACTCAAATCTTCTTGCCAATATTTTTAGTGTAAAAACAGTTAAACACTTTATCTCTAGAAATTAAGTCAAACATCAGTTAAGATCTTCTGTTATGTCTACTTATACATTTAAAACTTTGCTAGTCAATAAATGTATTGTATGTAGCCAAATAACAAATACCACTTTAAACAAATAACCATATTTCCTTTGATTCATTTTGTGAAATTTCCAAATCATCTAATTCAAAGAAAACAAGCATTTCTTAGATATGTAACTCACAGGAAAACAAAATGACCCTATGACATCTTATTGTAAGATAAGTCATACCAGTAAAGAAAGGTCCTTTGAGAAAACCTCTATGCCAACTGCTGCAGAACCAGTCTGGAAAACCTCACTGTTAACGCTCCAGCAAGCTCTACAATTCCTAACCAATTTAATTAGCTGTAATTTTTAAGCACTTGCTAGCAGCATGCATTTGCAGCAACTCCCACTCTATTCAATGAGAATAAAAAGCCTCTCTTGATCACAGTGTTGATACAGGACTGTCAACAGACTGAGAAACATCTACACACTTTCCCATGGAAAGAAAGGCAAGGATGACAAAAGGCCTCAGCAGCATCCTACTCTCAGACAACCTAGAAAGAGGCAGAGTGCTACCATCCCAGAAACTTAGTGTGTGTTTTACACAATAAATGGTTAAACTTCTCATTTGTTTTAAAGATATAAAGGACTAATCATATATGCAAGAAATTAGAATGATTAACTCTAGGTCTCTAGGCATTTCAGAACAGAGAAAATAATAAAAATATGTATAAGTAAATCCCTTCTTTTCCTTTTGAATCAGTGACTAAATGTTGATATATGAAGAAAGCAACCCAGGGAAATACACCCCTTGTGTAAAATGGCTTTGGCACTGAGAATACAGACTGCAAAGATTTCAAAAGCAAAGAAATGCAAATTAGGTAAAACCTAATTTTAGATCCCACTTCTCCTCCAAGCATTATGGTACACTAGATGCTCTAAGCGACTCTTGTGTTATAAAACAACTATATCCATGACCAAAACATACTTGTTTGAACTGCTGGATATGTAAGAAGTAGAGGGTTTCCAAGGACACCCTCTCCATACCCTTCCACACCCCCTTCCCCACCACTGCAAAGCAAGCTGGGGCCTCAGCTGGGAGTGGGGAGTGGTGGGCAGAAAGGCAGAGGCAGGGCTGTCCTGAGGGCTGATGCCTACCACATTTGATCAGGACACTGAGCACTGGACTAGTGGCTCAGTAGATGAGCTAGGCCTAAGACCAGTGTGTAACACCTAGATCCTTGAGTAAACCCTAGGCCAGTGGCAGAAGCAGAAGCAGCAAATTCTCTCTGAAGGAACACATTCCCACTTTAGAACGTTAGGACTCCCAAAGATAAAATCAAGCAGTAAGTTTCACCAATGATCTCCAAGGACGTAGGAAGATAAGTCACCACAGTCAGAGTCCCCTCAGGACTTAGAGATAGTGGGATGGGTAGATTCAGAGCAGAGAACTCTGTATGAAATGCTTAGAGAAATAACGTATGGAATCACTAAGATGAGCAAGCAACAGGAGACTACCAGGAACAGCACTGTAGATCCGTATGCGTATAGTTAGAAAATTTTCAGAAACTCCTAAAAATAAAACTGTAAATATTAAACACAATGGAGAGGTTAAAAAACACTATGGACATAGCAGAAGCTATAATGAAGCAAGAAAATAAAAGACATGTCTTACAGAGGAATGACTGACAGTAGACTTAACAGCAATTATGGAAGTCTGAAGACAAAGGAATACTATCTTCAAACAGATTAGAGAAAAAAATCATTTTACCTGGCTGGCATAAGCAATACCATGTCTTGACCCCATCTTCTTCCCGGCCACACAGGAAGACTACATTTCCTACCTCCTTGTATCAGGAGAGAGCATCTAACTAGTTCTAGGCACTGGAACATGAGCAGAAGTGATGTTGCTACTTTGAAGCCAGGCCTCTGAAATATGCCATATGTTACGGCATGCTTCCACTCTTCTCACATTGGCCAACTGGATGCAACAGAGGACTGGGAAGCTCTTGGGAAGAATGGAACCACTAGAGGAAGGGCTTGGATCACAGAGCCACACAGACAGGAACGTTTACATTGAAATGAGAAATAAACTTCCATTATGTTATCACTGAGACAAGAGGGTTGTTTATTATAGCGACTGGCCTATTCTGACTAATACAAAGTAGAATTATAAAACTACCTTTCAGGAAGGGGTGAAAAACACATCAACAGATAAATAACAAAAACAATTTATCAGGGCCAAAACCGGTTTGGCTCAGTGGATAGAGCGTTGGCCTGTGGACTGAAAGGTCCCAGGTTCGATTCCGGTCAAGGGCATGTACCTGGATTGCGGGCACATCCCCAGTAGGAGATGTGCAGGAGGCAGCTGATTGATGTTTCTCTCTCATCGATGTTTCTAACTCTCTATCTCTCTCCCTTCCTCTCTGTAAAAAATCAATAAAATATATTTTTTAAAAAAAAACACAAAACAATTTATCAGGAATAGACTTTCACTAAAAAGAAATTTCTAACATATATGTTTTAGGAAGAAGAAAAAAAAATACCATGTAAGGACAGTCTAAGATGTAAGAAAGAATGGTGAGTAAAGAAATTGCTAAGCATATATGTAAATTTAAAGAAGGTTCATCTCTGAAATATGTAATTTTATAATATATGATTTATATATTTTTATAAAGTATAAAATATAATTATTAGTAATAATAGTATAATTATGCTAATTTGTGGAATTAAAAAAAATGAAGGCACTAAGATATTGATGACAATAGCATGTAGGTGAAGAGGGGGATGACTGAAATTAAGGCATACTAAAGCCTTGAATTATTTTGAAAAGCGATGCAGATAGTATTTAACTTTAGAATCTTGTAAGACAAATGCAATAAAAAGTTAAGAGTAATCACACATAAAAAGAGAACAATAATAATGATACAAGCAACCCAAAATAGGTAAGGAAATATCATAGAAGTCTGGCCAGTGTGGCTCAGTTGAGTGTCCACCTATGAACCAGGAGGTCACGGTTTGACTCCCAGTCAGGGCACGTGCCAGGGTTGTGGGCTCGATCCCCAGTAGCGGGTGTGCAGGAGGCATCTGATCAATGATTCTCTCTCATCATTGATGTTTCTATCTCTCTCCCCCTTCCTCTCTAAAATCAATATATATTTCCAAATATGTATTATGGAAAATCAGTTCAAACAGAATTTTTAAAGAAGACAGCAGAAACAAATTCAAGTATTTCACTAATCTCTACAAATGGACTCACTGAGCTTGTCAGTTAAAATTTACTGCAATTAGAAGAAGCAAGAGACATACCAAAAACATGAAGACAGAATGACTGAGAAAAGTGCTTATTCTTCACTCGGAAGACTATACAAGGTCCTCTGTTTTCCCTGCACTTTTGAGAAGACTCACCTCCTCCTTTGAGGTCTCGGAGTCCAGCTCTAGAGTGAGATACATAACCACGTGAGGGGTGTTTAGCACATTCTGCTGGTTACCTTCAATCTCTTCTCCCCATAGAAGTTTGACTAAATCACCTTCTGTTTTCGATTGTGCATTTTTCTGTCTTGGTTGAGTCGTTTCCTTTTTCACAGCATATGCATTTTCTAATGTCAGCTTCACCTTTAAAAATTAAAACAATGTGTTGATATTTCAACAAGAGAAAATCAGCTGCAGCTTTCACAAAGGAGGCTCTGTACCTGCACATACACTCAGGTACACACAACATGCAGAGACATCTTCCTACAGCATGGGCTCCCCGGTTCCTAGCCCAGTGTCCGGCACACAGTAATACAAATATTTATTGAGCAAGAATGTATAATTCTCGGTTCAAAAATTCATTTGTTTAAACTTAATAATTGTATTGTAAGTATTGACACCAAAAACAAAAATTAGTGTGATCTGACAGTGTAATAAAGACTAATACCACATTATGAGCACTGACGCCTCTGGGGAAAATAAAGGAGATTCGGGATTAAAAGCAACCTCCAGCTCTGGCTAGTGTGAGTCAGTGGTTAGAGTGTTGGCCTGTGCACCGAAGGGTCGCAGGTTCCATTGTTGATCCTGGGCAAGTGTGGGAGGCAACCAATGTGTCTCTTTCACCTCTCTCTCTCTCTCTCTCCCTCTCTCTCCATCCCTCCCTCTCTTCCACTTTCTCTAAAAATCAATGGAAAAAATATCCTCTGGTGAGGCTTAACAAAAAAATAAAACAAAAAAAGCAACCTCCAGAGTTAGCGGCCCTTTCAAGTGAGGTGAGGTTCAAATGTTCTCTCAGACATTCTTTGTGGTCCTTTAAAGGCTCAGGAGAGTAAAGAACAATCAACGAGCTGGATCTTGGATCATGGCCTAAATAAGATCATCTATCAGTTTTATCATGCAGTTTTCATTTCATGGCCTGATGTCCAACCAGTTTGGTAAGCGTCCAGGACATGGCCTTTTTCCAGATGTTGAAAGGAGCTTCCACTCCTCAATTACCTTTCCTTGACAAAGGAGCTAAGTGTCTAGATGCCCGCTGGCCAAAGATAACTCACTCATTTTAAAGCATCAGTGTGTATCTTGACTAAAAGAAGTTAAAGAATATTTAAATACCAGATTCGTGCACTGGTGGGTCCCTTGGCCTGGTCTGCAGGGATCTGGTTGAAACCCACTCTCCGACATCCCCTGAGGGGTCCCCGATTGCGAGAGGGTGGTTCTCAGGTGACACACTCTGGAATCAGGCTCCCTCCTCTCTGGTTCCGGGTGCGTCACCTGAGAACCGCAGCTGCCAAGTCACCACAGCTCAGCAGCTCTTGCATTGAGCGTCTGCCCCCTGGTGGTCAGTGCATGTCATAGCTACTGGTCAGAGTGTCTGCTCCCTGGTGGTCATTGTGCATCAAAGCTACTGGTGGGACAGTCACTTGGCTTTTATATATACAGACTAAAGGCCCAGTGCATGAATTCGTGTACCAGTGGGGTCCCTTGGCCTGGCCTGCAGGATGGGGATGAAACCAGCTCTCCGACATCCCCTGAGGGGTCCCGGATTGTGAGAGGGCACAGGCCAGGCCGAGGGACCCCACCGGTGCACAACTGGGGCTGGGGAGGGATACGGGAGGTTGGCCAGCTGGGGAAGGACCATGGGAGAGCTCCAGGGCATGTCCAGCCCGTCTCACTCAGTCCCCATTGACTGGACCCCAGCAGTAATCTAACCTACTAGTCGGAGCATCTGCCCCTTGGTGGTCAGTGCACGTCATAGCGACTGGTCAACCGGTTGACTATCTGCCTCCTGGTGGTCAGTGCACATAATAGCAAGTGGTTGAGTGGCCTTAGCATATCAGCAACATATTACGCTTTGATTGGTTGAATGGACGACTGGACACTTAGCATATTAGGCTTTTATTATATAGGATACTTAATTTTATGTAGCAGGGACATCATCATAAGCTAGAGAGGCACAAAATAGTCCTATTTAAAATAGTCCTATTTAAAATAGTCCTATTTAAAATTGACCAGACTATAGATGAGTAAAGCGAACATTCTAAGTGTAATAATCCATAACATTTTAACATTAAACACTAACATACAATGATTATTTTAAAATTAGATTACATTTTAAAAGTAAAAAAACAAATTCATGCTTATCAAGAAAAATGTCTGCTCAATATGTGTATATTAAGTTTATTGTAGACTTTAAAAAATTACATTGTATAACTTAGATATATATAATTTTTATTTGTCAAGCATACCTCAGTAAAGCTGGGTGGGGGGGAAGTCTGCTCAATATTTAAAAACAGTTAAAATTGTTTGTACATAGTAAGTTGCATTTAGGGATAAAATATCTAAAAACTATTATCAAGACAGTAGTAATCCCTATTTTTAGAAATGTATTATAAGAGGTACTATTTTCAAGGCCAACTTTAAATATATGATAAATACTAACACATTAGGAACTCTTTTTAATAATGAGCTTTATCTATTTATATATTTTTATTAAAAATGTGAAGCATGTTATTTTAAAAAATTCATTCATAATCCCACCAGCCCAAACAACAACTGTTTGCATTATACTATAAAATAAATCTGCCCCAATGAATAAAACCTTCCAAAAGAAAACTATCTAGGTGTCTTCTTTTTTGTTGGCAAGGAGCGACTATGACAGTGTTAAATTTTGCTATCTGTAGCTATCTGTGGCATTTCAGGGGCACTCAGTTATCTTTGTCTACACAAAGTCAATTAAGTCACATACGCATCTTTTCTAAAATAAGTCTCAGAGTTTATTTTAGTAACAAGTAGAAAAGAAAAGAGTCATAAAGTCTAAATTCATTAATATGTATACATTCAGAATAAAGATAAACTAGGTCACAATTAGCAGTAATCTGTATAGAGAGCAGGAGGGGAGAAATCCCTCATGAAATTTTTCTGAGGCCTGGTGATATCTTTCTTTACAAAACATTTAATATCATTCCAAATGGAAAACATCAAACTTTATTAAATTTTTTGTTTTCTGTAAATCTGATATTGAGAAATGGACCCTTGATATTAGAACACTGTATCAAAAAAGGCTGAGTATAAAATTAGCATATCTGGGGGAGGGATATTAAGCAAACTAAACAAAAATATAAAAAAATTACAGATCCTACATGGGAACAATCAAAATTTATCTGATGGAAATTAATATACAGTTAAGGTAAGGAAGAGTTGAAGAGACATTGTTTTAGGAATGATCTTAGAAGGATATGAAAAACAGTGTTTGGTATGAGGTTTTGACCTAAACAAACAACATGTAAACATTATATGGCCTGAAAAACTATTTTATGAGGGTGGTATCTGTTCCTGTGGGTAATGCTCTCAATATCTGTATGCAAGAATAAAAATATAAACATGAAATCCTTGAGTAAGGATCTGATGAAGCGAATGGCCTGGGGGTCAGGAGGTTCTTTTATCTGAGATTGAGAATTTAGGAATATCCAAAACAGAATATATGGGAGCCTTTGATGATGTTCCTTGGAAATGCAAGAAATCTAGAATTTGGGGAAATTCTGAAGCACAGAATTTGTGACAAACTAGATGGGAGCTTTGAAGACTGTTCCCCCGACACTGGGTTTGGGGGAGGAGTGGCTAGGAAGGGAAGAAAGCTGGTTGCAAGAGCACGAGATGAGTGACATCCTAGGGAAGCAGGCATCACAGAGACAGGCCACATGGGCTGGAGCGTCTGTGAGAGCTGTACGGCTTTTCTAGCTGAGATTCTTGTGGGTGGAGAGGTCAAAAGCTAGGGCGTGATTCCCCAGAAATGACAAAAGGAAATGACTTAAAATAACAATTCACCAATTTTACTTTAGGCAGCAACAGCAACCTAAAATTTAAGGCTGGTTTGCTATGCTTCATGAAGAACAAGATACTTGAAAACCAACGTTAATGTTATACTTGGCACACACCAGCACTTTTTTCCTGTGGTACACAGACCTTTCCCCCTTACCATGACAAAAACTTAAACCAACACACACCACAGAACCATCCATTAAAATTCTTTAAGGAACGATTTTAGCCAGCATTCTTCCAATTTAAGTAAAGTTGGCTCTATATTTCAAAGATAATTATACTTCAGCAAGACATTTTGAAAAAGCTTACATGTTAAGTAGCTATAAGTGTCAGGAAATCTGGTTGCCTTGATGAAATAATAAAGGGTGAGATAGATAACCAAGTGAAGAGTTAAGAGTTAGCTATTTTTAAAAAGGGGATTGATATATGTAAATATGAGGATATTATGTTTTATGGGAAAAAACTTTTAAGAAACATTTAATATAAGGTAGTTTATATGAAGCTTCTCATAAAAAAAGATTCCTGTTGTTCCTTCATAGACATTCACCTATGACACATTTCATGGTTCCTCATTTCCTGTCTCCCTCAAAACTGTTTCTGATTGGTGCAATTTGCCCATCCTTCCTTTCCTCCTTCTCTCCCAGTTCAGGAGAGGATGTGTCTTTCCTCAGGTCTAGGGACGTGCTCACTGTAACTCCTCACTTCCCAAATCTTGTTGCTTTAATGACCCCCTCTCTCTACTTCTATCTCCAACTCACACCATTTAACAAGCAAACTCTCTCCTCCTTGGTCCTGTTCTCTTGGGCAATCTCACTGAATTACTGAGTACAGAACCTGGAAGGCATCTTGGACTCCTCTCTGTCCTGCAGGAAGTACCGTCCTCCCACATGACTTAAATCTAATCTCCTCTTCCATATCCCCAGCCAACGCCTCACCTCAGGCCTTAATCACCTCTCTTTTGGACCACTCTGAAGCTGACCACCTGGTTTCCCAACCCCCACTCCCATCCAGAGCAATACATTCCTAAAATGCAAATCTGCTAAACTTCTAGCACTTTCATTTTACATTTCCAAAGATAGATAAATTTATATAGAGATAAAGTGGGAGGAAGGGAGAAAGAGAGTTTTAAGAGAAGGCAGTGAACATAGAGAAATCTTTTTTTTTTTTTTTAAAGAAAACAAGGGATTTCCATCATGGGTTCTATTGTGTCAGAGTCTCAAGTTAGATGCAGATAAGATTCTGATTTATCAGGGATTCTGCTCATGCCCATCAATCCCAAAACTGCTTCACGCTCTCTCTCACCTAACAGAGTCTCCAACCTACCTGAAGCACATCCTCCTCCCTAGCCCTCAAAAGAGAAAGCGAGTTCTTGATGCTAACAAGAGCAGAGCATTCATAAATATGAGGTATAGCACTTTCAAAATACCTGAAATGACATTTTCAAATGACCTGAAAATGTCACCTCTGACACAGAATATCAGTGCTTTGAGTAGCAAAAAAAGAGTTTTATTTTTACCTATAATGAATGGAAGGTAATTCATTACTTAGCTAAACAAAAACCCAGGAATAAGGCTAAACTAGATAACAGAAAAATCAAGAAAATAGTATGGTTTAAAATAAATAAATAAGTAAAGAAGTAAATAAATAAATAAATAAATAAATAATAAAAAGCACAGGAAAAACTTGATAGCAATAATGACTGTGGTAAGTCAGAGCAGAGAAAGTTCCAGGACTGTTTAGAATGACGTTTCCAGGAGCGGGAGTTCCATCAGCACATAGGGTAGTTATAAGGGCAGACCGGTCATTGTATATGTTTTTATTATTGTTCTTCTTCCTCCTTTACTGAGGATGAGTTTCACTTGTGGATATGATTCTCTCTTTTAAGAACAATCTCCAAAAGCTAAGAATGTTAACAAGATCTAAATATTTTAAATACCCAAGTATGTAAGAACTCCTCCATTATACACGATAATTTCCAGAATCTTAAAACAAAAAGAAAATAGCACAAGATGCACTCATCTTACGTTAATTCATCATAACACCCAGACAAAGAACGTCCATACCTGCGTAGGCCCAGGAATGCAGGACAGAACTCTCTCTATGTTCTCAGAGGTCACATCAACATCGTTCACAGCAACAAGGACATCACCTGAGAAAAGAATAACAATAAAAGACAGTCGTGGGAATATCCCCAAACCAAAAAGACCTAGAACTGGAACATTAAAAACCACCTATTCTGACCTCTTTAAAGTACAGTGGAAAATATGGTCTAGACATTCAAGGGCTTGTCCAAGGCGAAAAAGCTCACTAGTGGCAGAGCTAATCTTCCATTCCACTCTTTCTTAAACTACAATACAGACCAACATGGTACTGCGACTGAATACAACCCATGAATATTATAGAGATGAATATTCTCATTTTTTATACCATTGGGAGAATTATGTAAAGCCGAAGGCCAAATGGAAATCTGCAGCATTAACCAAGTATTGCACTTAACAAAACTGAATCTAACCACTTATACTCACAGTGAAAATATTCAGCTGAAATTTTAATTAAATACATGTGGTACGTCATAACTCAATATGCTGTGAATTCACTGTTATTGATTTGTGTCTACACATAGCTCTTTTTTTCAAAGGCCCCACCATATCAGAACCCATCGCATGTTTGGTAAAAATTTCCTTTGCCGTGGCTTTTCTTTAAATGTGTATGTTTATAAATCTGGGGGGATTAATATAATAAAGATCAATCTTAAAATGGAAATTTACATTCACAACATAATTAAAGGTAATATCAAAACACCAGTAAGTTATATAATAGAAATATATACATAAGGTTATTTCTCATCATATTTAAGTATATCATTATGAAACTGATCAGTAATTCATATTCATCCATTAATTAATCCAATGAATATTTATTGAGCACCTACTGTGTGCCAGGCACTGCAGATAGAGAATTGAATTAAACACACCAAAATCTCTAAACAGAACTTAATACTCTTTGGGGAAAATGGATAATAAACATATATATGGATAAAATAGTGTTGATAGACAATTTTTCATCGGTCTCCCATGTTTTGTCCATCTTGCAACCCAAGGCACTGAAAGTCTTTGTTCTGGATTATCTTTTCAAAGATGTTTGTATAGAGAACAGCCTTGGATGACGGAGATAGTGTCTCTCTTCAGAGCAAAGGTCAAGTCTGTTCAATGTGCAGTATAATAAGGATAGTGTCTCCCTCAATATCTTATTATTAATAACTAGAGGCCCGGTGTACAAAAATTTGTGCACTGGGGGGGGGGGAGGGGGTCCCTCAGCCCGGCCTGTGCCCTCTCGCAGTCTGGGACCCTCGGGGGATGACCACCTGCTGGCTTAGGCCTGCTCCCCAGGGGATTGAGCCTAAGATGGCAATCAGACATCCCTCTGGAAGCCCAGCAGCCTCGGGGGATGTCCACTTGCCAGCGGGGAGCAGACCTAAGCTGCAGTCGGACATCCTTAGTGCTGCTGAGGAGGCAGGAGAGGCTCCCACCACCACCGTTGTACTGGCAGCCATCAGCCTAGCTTGAGGCTGAGCAGAGCTCCCCCATGTGGGAGCGCACTGACCACCAGGGGGCAGCTCCTGCATTGAGCCTCTGCCCCCTGGTGGTCAGTGTGTGTCGTGACCAGTCATTCCCAGTCTTTCTGCTGTTAGGGTCAGTTTGCATATCACCCTTTTATTATATAGGATAGAGGCCTGGTGCATGGGTGAGGGCCGGCTGGTTTGCCCTGAAGGGTGTCCCGGATCAGGGTGGGGGTCCCACTTGGGTGCCTGGCCAGCCTCGGTGAGGGGCTGATGGCTGTTTGCAGCTGGTCACACCCCCTTCAGAGTGGGGGTCCCCACTGGGGTGCCTGGCCAGCCTGGATGAGGGGCTGATGGCTGTTTTCAGGCTGGCCACACCCCCTTTAGGGTGGGGTCCCCACTGGGGTGCCTGGCCAGTCTGAGTGAGGGGCTGAGGGCCGTTTTCAGGCTGGCCGGGACTGAAGCTCCCAGCCTCTCCTTTTTTTCTTTTTCTTTTTATTCTGGGATTTATTTACCTTCTATAATTGAAACATTGTTGCCATCACTGGCGCTCCCAGCTCTAAGGCTGTGGCCGGCTGAAAGCAGGTATCTGGGGTTTGTTTAGCTTCTATAATTGAAACTTAGTTGCTTTCAGAGCTCAAAGCCGGGCCACGGCAGGCGGGGAACCTTGGCTTCCTCCATCACTGGAGCAAGCAAGCCTCATGCTCGCTTCAGCTGCGTGGCTGCCGGCGCCATCTTTGTTGGCAGTTAATTTGCATATCACCCTGATTAGCCAATGGGAAGCGTAGCGGAGGTACGGTTAATTACCCTTTTGTCTTTTATTAGATAGGATTGTTCTTTATAGAAGATTTATCTTCCCTAAGGTCAAAGTTCCTCTCCCTTTAATGCAACTCACTATAGGTATGTGTTTAGGTGTCACCTGGCCCTCCTCATGTCACCCCGGGAATGAGGATTGGGGAATAGGTGAAAATGCTGTTCTTTTAGCTACTGTTACTCCTCTCTCTCCCCTCTCTGCTTCCTCCCTTGCTCTCCTTGACCTTCTATCACATGGGGAAAGGGTTAAGTGCAGAGTGAGCAGGTGGGATTCCTTAGGTCATTATGTGATGGTTTTCAATGGCCTGTACTAGGTTCAGATGCTATTCACTTCACAGCTCTGAAGGTGTGGGCACTGAGTCACTATGATGGTCAATTACTGAAGCACTTTGAGCAACCTGGTAACTTTTCTTAAAAGAACTTGTAAACTAAAATAAACTTCCAACTTCAGTTCAACCTTGGGAAGAAAAAAGCAACATTTCCCCCCGCCCCCTCCCCATTTTTTAAAACAGGAGACAAGTGTACTATATCAAATTATTTATAGCTGCAGTGATTTTTTTTTAAAGAAAAGGAACAATGAATACTATCAGAGTATTGATGCAAAAGAAACCCACTTCTGGACCATTCTATCCAGGTGTTCTGTTGTCCATAAGATGATCAGAACACCTAAATGGTGACCCCATTTAAAACTTGTTCCTTTAAACTCAAACTCCACTGGAAAATGTCCCAAATAACTTTTCTCCCAAATCCTAATGGATACAGTTCTGCAGTTGAGTGTTTTAGGGAGTGTCACCTGAAAGCATCACACTTAAGAAACCTCTAAAAGTGGGAGACACGTATCATCATAAAATATATGAGAATAAATTTTAGAGCAAGTGTAGTAAAATCTTTTTAAATGTTTAGTAGAAAAATTTCTTTCTATAAGAAAGTGTTACATCTACTTCTTATTCTCCCAGATACTTGTTTTCCTCAAGTTTTTCCGAGCACTTCCGTGAAGGGACTCAGGCTTCCTGGACCTCACAGCACTGGCAGCCTGAGCTGGGAATTGCACCGCGGCCTCCTGGTTCAGAGATGGGGGCTTAACCACTGCGCAGCACTGGCTGGACTTCCATTCGCTCTGGTCTGGGGGTGGGGGTTGGCTACAGGAGTCCAGGAGCTACCAGCTGACTGTCAAACTTGAAGAAAAACCCATGAATAGAAATCTAAAAAATAAAGTGCAAGTCCTTGGCAGAAGGAACAGCAAAATGGCACCTATAAAGGCAGCAAAACTTCCAAGACCCCAGCAAAGAAGAATCAGAATAGAGATCTGCTGTCTTGAAAGGAAAGAAGGAAGCCATCAGTCTCACTGTGCTAACCAAGCACGTCAGTCAAAGGAGGGTCCTTCTCCTGTGAGACGAAGGCAGCTACGCCAGCAAGCTCCATCACCCGGGCAGTTTTCAAGATCCTCCGTCCTGTGGGTTACCTCACAGTTCAACCACAGACCGCAGCGTGAAGGGAACTATGACAAATTTCCATCACAGAAGCGCTTTGTGGGATTAGCAAACCCTCTATGACATTGAAATAGTCTGTTCTTTATTCCTAAAATACATAACTTTAAAAACATAGAACATAACCATAACAAAAACTTTTGAAAAAGCAGAGAAAACAATCACCCATACTGTCCCTATACTAACCCAACACTATTAGCACTTGTTGTATTTACACTGACTTCTAATTATTCTCCCTGTACATTTTCTTTTTATATAGTTACCTCTGTGCTGCATAACAAATCACCCAGACTTGGTAGCTTAAAGCAACAATCACATTTAACTATGTGCGTACTGATTTATTGTGGTTGTCACTTTGCAATATATACAAATGTCGAATCATTATGATCCCACCTTTTAAGTAAATCACATAGGACCACATAAGCTGTAGTCACAGGCCCACCCAGATTCAGAGGGCTGGGCGGGGAGACACACAGACTATAACTCTCCGTGGGACAAGGATCAGCATGACATTGTAAGAGGAGAATGTGGGGATCTCGTTGCAACCCTTTGTAACACACACTTGGTACAGGTGCCCTTCCTACTCGAGTCCTCCTTGCAAACCCCTTTCATGGCACTTACCACACTGTGTGAAACTGTCGGCCTATTTCTGGCCCGTCTCTTCCACGACAGTATGAGCTCCACAAGAGGAGCATTTGGACCATTAATTTTTGTGGTCCTGGCACCTAGCAACAGATGCCCAAATAATTATTTGTCAAGTCAAATTTAGACATAATAAAAATATGTTTTTAAAGTATCAATAAAAGTTCCTTTATTTAAATCTCTGAGGCTAGATCAACTTAAGACTGCCAGCTTCTAGCATTGTTAATACCGTTAAGTTTTACTAATAACATATTCTCATCTGTGTCTAATTTATTTACAAGTAATAAAATTACTACTAACTCAAACATTATCTACAACAGCTTAAAATGTATCACTAACACAAAATGCTCATCTTAGTATATATTCAGAAAAACTTATGGGTTTATTTTTCCCCCCTCCAAATTGGTGGGATGTTTTATGGCAAGCACCCTTAAAGGGAAATTTATGTACACCACCACTGCTGTTAAACATGCCAAATGAAACAGTTAAAACCATTCCAAGATCTCAGTGCATTCAAGGGCAAACATACAATTTTACAGTTCTTTTATTCATAAAATTATATATTTTTGTATAATGTTATTGGATGTGTCATTCAACCCTAAATTATCCCTGTACAATCAACTTATTTTCTTTTACTTTTCAGTAAATATAACCAAGATGACCAAGTTATATCATTCAAAACTCAGAAATTAGTTAAGCTGTCCCCTGGCCTAAGCAAGGCACACAAACATATTCCAGGCACTAAAGCGTTTATTTTCAGAACACCGTGCCTGGCTTAACAATTTCACTACTGTCCCAAATATCGTCAGGGAGTCCTTAATCCGTTAAGACCCTGGCTATAATTCTGTTTTGATCGTGTTCCTCACTGGCATCTTTAATCCCGTGTCTCAGCAAACAAGACCTGATGTTTAGCCACAGCACTTACCAATTAACACCTGACCACTCTTCATGGCTGATCCTCCTGGCAGCAGGCCATGGACCACCAGCCTCTCCCCACCGGCCTGCTTCCCAGTTCTTCTCCAGCTCCACTTGGTCTGATGGATGATCCCAACCAGCACTTCCAGAAGCTTGAGCTGCTCTTTGGCTTTGGTGACTGTTAGCTTTTTGGGGTTTACATAGACAGTCACATCTTTGTACCTCTGCTGAACAATGACTCCTGTTTTCTGATTGGACTGATGCTTTAGAATGGAGACCGGCCCACTATCATTGCTCTTTTTTTTATTATGGCGCTTGGGTAAAAGTCTTCTGCTTCTTAAAATTTTGGTAAACCGCTTGAGTTTGGGTTCATACTTTTTTCCTTCTTTGTAATCATCCTCTTCAATAATAATCTCATTTTCACTGAACCTGACGTGATTCACAACAGGTGTCTCAGGAAGGAGGCTTTCTTCTTCGTCCTCACTCAGTTCCAAATAAAATAGCTCTCCATTTTTCTGCACGCTGTCCAGCCATTCAGGCTCAAGATCACTATGAAAAAAAAATAGAAAATATAGATAGCAGCCAAACATAAGAAAAAGTTATGCCAAGTTATGCCTGTCTAGCACAGGGGTGCGCGTAGGAGCAGGGAAATGGGAGATAGAAAAGTTATTTGATTATTAGAATCTCATTATTTCTAGTAAGTGAGTACCAAGGGTTTTTTTCTGGAGGATGCTTTTTGTAGAGCCTTGAAGAACAGGGGTTGGAGGAGAAATCCAAAAGATATAGTGATTGAAAAGAAAACAAATAAAAAATGAGATGGCCCCTTCTAGAATCTGAGTTTGTGTTTTTTTAAAAAAGAAATTAAGTTCAGCCCCTGTGTGGTTATTGTTCACATTAGACAATTTCACTGGACAATAATTTACATTACTAGTTGATCATGCATTGTATCCACAGATGTAAGCCATTTGGAAATTGTACATAAAAATATCCTATTTGCATAGAAATTTTTCAGCATGGCTGTTATGTTAAAATGAAAGCTAAAGACCAGTATTAATAGATGTTATTTATAGAGTAAATTTTCAAAACAGAAACATTCACTTCACCATGAATAAAAATCGTTGCTGAAAACCATTTATAATCATAGTTAATAATGATCACTTCTACAGCCTATAATTTCTGTAAAATCCCTTATTATGAATAACTGTAGTAGGAAAAGTAAACCACATATTACATAGTTCATCATGTGATTGTAAAAGAACTTTTAACTGGGAAGCAAACCATTGAAAGAAACAAAACTAGTGCTATTAAAAATGACTAAAAAACAAAAAATACTTACCTTAAGGTAACACACCTAATTACAAACTCTGCCCTATTCAATGTTATGAACATTTACCTTTCAAACTGCGATTCTTTAAAGCAAAACTGGTTCCAGTGGAAAAACTAACTAGTGGAGAGAGTCTTTTTAGAAACATGAGCTGTAAAATCCTGGCATGAAAGGGTATAATTTGTGTCCTAATCATTCCATCAGATAGAAGACAGTTTGGTTTTCTGCAGTATTAGCAACTCTCATTCTCTTTACTTAAAAATCTCTTTTTAAATACTATGAAAATCAATAAAAAAAATACACTATTCTGTTTGTTGTTCAACTCTGAAACTAACGACTGCCTTGGCCTGTGGGTGGTAATTAATACAGAATTTTTAACTGTGTAAGAAGAGGGGAAAAAGGTATAACTAGCCCCAAATATCAAAACTAGTATTTCATTGGCATTTGTTGGTTCTCAGTATGTGGCATCATTTTAGGCCACTAGCACCCACCACTTACTGCAGGTTATTAATCATATATTAGCCGTTCCAACCATCTCTACCTGGACCCACAGAAATCAGTATTTCACAACCCCAGTCCTGCTCTGAAGGGAGAATCTAAATTTACATTTAAAATGTAAATACCATGATTACACACAATCACTTATGAAGATACATTATCAATTTAAACAATGAATGAATTTATTTGTTTTATAATCTCAAATCTCACCCTTTAATTTGGCGTATTATTTGTATTAGAGATATACGACCCAAAAGAAACATTTCTACCTTCTGTTAAATGTGAAGACAGTTTTATTTTAATCTCTAAAATCTAAATGTGAAACCACTTTTAATTATGATTTTAAGAGCCATGCTGGTGGGAAGGGGGGGAGGGGGGCTTCCGTGAGTGGTATTCAATTGTAAAGCAAATAAACAGTTCCAGGCACTGCAGCAAAATCTAGATCTACAATGATGGAAACGGCATTCCTTCCTTTATCTAGTGGGGAGAGGGGCTGAGAAAGAATTCATGAAAATACACATGCTATGTACTAGAGAGGAGTCATCAAACTTAGCCAAAGGTTGAGACTGTGGTCAGGGGAAACTTCCTGGTGGATGAGACTCCAGAAGTGAGTTTTGAAAGAATAAGTGACCAGGAAGGGGAGCCTGGGGCGCTGAAGGGGAAGAAAAGAAATTTCCGAAGAGAAGGAATAGCATAAGCAAAAGCCTTGAGCGATAGTCTCCATGGCCAGTGTGGATAGTTAAAGCTAGGCTGTGGTGGCCCGAGTTTAATTCGTGAGATGGGGAGTGACAGAGGGAGTAGTCAAGTGCTAATTTTTTGAGGCTTTTGAACCACGGGAAAGGCCTTGGATTTTGTAGTGTAGGGCACTGGTAAGTTTACCTTTACATGTCAGATATCCTTGGATACGTCTACTTTGACAAGAAAACAAAAGAAGGATTTGAGGTGGACTCAAGAGATGAAACCAGGTAGAGGGCTTTTTCTATCATCCAGGCAGAGATGATAATGAAGGCAATAGTAGAAAAAATGGAAATAGGAAAAACATTTAAGAAAAGCTTGAAAATCACCAGGACTATGAGATTGATTAGATGAGTGGATGACAGAGAGGAAATGATGGATGTTGACTAGATTTCTAGTTGGTGTCTATACTTTCATGCATCCTTTTATTTTTATTTTTAAATATATATTTTCATTGATTTCAGAGAGGAAGGGAGAAAGAGAGAGAGATAGAAACATCAATGATGAGAATCATTGATCGGCTGCCCCCGCACACCCCACACTGGGGATGGAACCCGAGACCCAGGCATGTGCCTTGACCTGGAATCAAACCATGACCTCCTGGTTCATAGGTCGATGCTCAAATACTGAGCCTCACATGCATAGTTTTATGTATACACTAGACGCCCAATGCACGAAATTTGTGCAAGGGGCTGGGCCCTCGCAGCCTCAGCTTCGTCCAGAAGGTAGTCCAGAAGTACGTCTGGTCTAATTAGCATATTATGCTTTTATTATTATAGATATGCATAGACTCATTCTACACAAATGGGGACATAATTACCATACACATCATCTTCCCTTCTTACCTTTCACTGACATAAACAATGTTAAACATCTATGTTCTTATATAAAAACACATAGGGTTATTTTGTTATTGTTTTTAAAAAGTGGAGCCCAGCCAGTATGGTTCAGTGGTTGAGCATTGACTTATGAACCAAGAGCTTACCGGTTCGATTCTGGTCAGGGCACATGCCCAGGTTGCAGGCTCCCCAGTTGGGGGGTGTGCAGGAGGCAGCCAATCAATAATTCTCTCTCATCATTGATGTTTCTCTCTCTCTCCCTCTTTCTTCCTCTCTGAAATCAATAAAAATATATCTAAAAATAAATAAAAAGTGGAATGTGTATATCTATACACCTGTGTGTGTGTGTGTGTATATATTCATTTATCACTTAACAATACAATTTAGAAACCCTTAATGGCTGCATTAATTGTCCAATTAGAGATGTAACGAATTTGGTTATTCACCGACTGATAAGCTTTGTGTTCAGTTCCCTCCCCCCAACAATACAGTAACCATCTTTATGCGCATATACAGATCTTTACCCAAAAGAAAAGGCCAATTCCCATGTCCAACAACAATGAATACAATCCATTTTCTTAACCTTTAGATAAAAAAAATACTTCACTTTAAGACAGTGGTTCTCAACCTTCTGGCCCTTTAAATACAGTTCCTCATGTTGTGACCCAACCATAAGATTATTTTCGTTGCTACTTCATAACTGTAATGTTGTATCTGATATGCAGGATCGTCTTAGGCGATCCCTGTGAAAGGGTCGTTCAACTGCCAAAGGGATTACGACCCACAGGTTGAGAACCGCTGCTTTAAGAAGAAGAAGAAATTTTTAAAAAATTATAAGAAGGGAGATAAGCGAGACAAAAAAAAAGGCAGGAAATGAACTTAAGAGACTGCAAAAGAAGGTATTGCATAAAGTGAAAACAAAATTAACCGAGAAGACACAGAGACCTTGGATCTTTGTGTAGCTACTCCCCATTCCAGGAGATGGACTTAATGCCATGCTACCAAAGACCAGTGTGTGGAAAGTGAAAAACAGTAACCACAGCGAAACCTGGCTGACATGACCTTAACTAAGAGGTGCAGGCTATGAGAAACAAGGAAGGACTGAGAACTGTCACAGAACACCGGGCACTAAGGAGACTTGCTGACTAAATGCAACATGATATCTTGGATTAGATCCTGGGACAGAAAAAGGACATAGTAGAGGAATGGTGAAATCTGAAAAAAATCTGGAGTTTACTTAATAGTTAGGTACCAATATTAATTTCTTATGTGCTGAATAATGTGCCGCAGCTGTGCAAGATGCTATCCACTCAGGGGACCCACTGAAGGAAATACAGGAACTCTGTACTATCTTTGCAACTTCGCTGTAAATCTAAACTTACTCCAAAATAAAAGGTTTACTTTTAAACAGGAATTAAATTCAGATTTTTGTAATACGCGGGTCACATATAGGCAACAACATGGATAAGTCTCAAAATAATTATGCCAAGTAAAAGAAGACAAAAAAATAATTGTCCATACTGTATGATTCAATTTTTATAGAACTCTAGAAAAGACAAACTCATCTCTAATGACAAAAAGCAGATAAGTGGTTGTAAGGAGTGGGGGACCTGAGTAGTCTTAGGGAAGCACATGGGGAAACTTTTTGTTGTTGTTTTAATCCTTACTTGAGGCTATTTTTTCCATTGATTTTCAGAGATAGAGAGAAGAAGGGAGAGAGGGAGGGGAGGAGAGAGAGAAACATCAATGTGAGAGAGAACATCGATTGTTGCCTTCCGTACGAACCCCCAACTGGCAATCAACCCGAAACCTAGGTATGTGCCCTGATCGGGAATCGAACTGGAAACCTTTCAGTATACAGGATGATGCTCCAAACAACTGAGCCACACAGGCCAGGGCTCCAGTCATTCTTATTTTCAATGGAAGTTCCTCAGCTTTTTATAGCTAAATTATTTTTAAAAAGCATCCCAGTTTCTCTGTCAGTCAAGGCTTTCAACCTAACAATACAAAAAGTCACCTTGAAAAATCAAAGATCTAAGTCATAAAATTGTTAACTTTGGCCAAAATGAACTAACAAATGTTGCTTTAATTAGTTGGATAATTGTAAACCAAAGCAAAGAAATGTGGCATTGCAAGTAAATGTATAATTTCTGTTATTTCAATACTGAAACTAGGCACTGGTTTCCTCAACCCAACCTACCCACAAATATTACCTCAGAAGCTTCCCAAGGGACTTGCCAATGTGCCAGGTTAATAAAAAGCTTCTGCACAGCAAAAGAAACCATCAACAAAACAACAAGAAAACCCACTGCGTGGGAAAACATATTTGCCAATGTCATATCTGATAAGGGCCTAATCTCCAAAATTTATAGGGAACTCATACAACTTAACAAAAAGAAGATAAACAATCCAATCAAAAAATGGGCAAAGGATCTAAATAGACACCTTTCAAAAGAGGACATTCAGAAAGCCAAGAGACATATGAAAACATGCTCAAAGTCACTAATCATCCGAGCGATGCAAATCAAAACAACAATGAGGTACCATCTCACACCTGTCAGAATGGCTATCATCAACAAATCAACAAACGACAAGTGCTGGAGAGGATGTGGAGAAAAAGGAACACTTGTGCACTGCTGGTGGGAATGCAGACTGGTGCAGCCACTATGGAAGACAGTATGGAGTTTCCTCAAAAAACTGGAAATGGAACTCCCATTTGACCCTGTGATCCCACTTCTAGGAATATATCCCAAGAAACCAGAAACACCAATCAGAAAGGATATGTGCACCCATATGTTCATAACAGCACAATTCACCATAGCTAAGATCTGGAAACAGCCTAAGTGCCCATCAGTAGATGAATGGATTAGAAAACTGTGGTACATCTACACGATGGAATACTATGCTGCTGTAAAAAAGAAGGAATTCTTACCATTTGCAACAGCATGGATGGGACTGGAGAGCATTATGCTAGGTGAAATAAGCCAGTCAATGAAGGAAAAATACCACATGATCTCACTCATTCATGGATAATAAAGACCATTACAAACTTTTGAACTATAATAGATACAGAGGCAGAGCTGCCTCAAACTGATTGTCAAACTGCAGTGGGAAGGCCAGGGAGGTTTGGGGGGCAGGAGGGAGGCGGGTAAGAGATCAACCGAAGGACTTGTATGCATGCATATAAGCATAACTAATGGACATAAGACACTGGGGGGTAAGGGAGGCCAGGGGATTGTCAAGAGCGAGGGGGGGGTGGGGGGAGAAGGACACATATGTAATACCCTTTGTAATACTTTCAGCAATAAAAAAAAATTACACTTAAAAAAAAAGATATACTGCAATAATCTAAAATTTTCCTCTTATACAATGTCTTAAACAAATCTACTAAAAGTATGTCACCAAAAAGTACCCAAATTAAACTCATTTTGTATTGACAATCTCATGCAGTTCAAACTGGTTTTAAGTTACAAAGCATGTATGAAATAATGATAATTTCCAGAAAGAATCCTATATAATAAAAGCCTAATATGCTAAGTGTCTGGTCAACCATTCAACCAATCAAAGTGTAATATGCTAATGATCGGGACTGGGTGAGACAGGCTGGACACGCCCTGGAGCCCTCCCGAAGTCCCTCCCCGGCTGGCCAACCTCCTGTGTCCCTCCCCGGCCCTGATCGTGCACTGGTGGTGTCCCTCGGCCTGGCCTGCACCCTTTTGCAATCCGGGACCCCTTGGGGGATGTCAGAGAGCCAGTTTCGGCCCGATCCCACAGGCCAGGCTGAGGGAGCCCACTAGTGCACAAATTCATGCACCAGGCCTCTAGTATGCAAATAATTAACTAATTAGAACCCTGAAAGTTCAGGATATTTTATATGAATCAATAAGCAGCATAACTGCCTTAAAACCTTCATGCAGGCAATGAAAGACAATAGACAATATCTCTTAGCTTTGATGAGAAAGATTAGGTTCACCCCCTATTCCTTTGATCAAAAAGTTGTCCTGTCCAAGTTGGGAAGGCCACTTCTTGCTTTGGTGACTCTGCAGCTTAGGGAGGTAAATAGCTAATGCCACATGAAAGGAACAAAACTGCCAATCTGGTCAGGTCAACAAATCAACTCTCACATCCTACACACCAAGACTGGGCAGCCATAAAGTTTGAATCTTGGGTGGACTCAAAATATAGACCAGCAAAACATTTTACAATATAAGGATTTACTGATATTTATGATTAGAATAAAGACACTGGAACATGGAAGTGACCACTGAATGATTGCTATAGAAAGCTTAACAACTATTTTTTTTAAAAATTAAAATATAACACATATATACATGTATTCTGAATTGTGAAATGCTTTGCAGTGGTTCTCAACCTTCCTAATGCTGCGACCCTTTAATATAGTTCCTCATGTTGTGGTGACCCCCAACCATAAAATTATTTTCGTTGCACCTTCATAACTGTAATTTTGCTACTGTTATAAATCGTAATGTAAATATCTGATATGCAGGATGTATTTTCATTGTTTGTGACCCACAGGTTGAGAACCGCTGCAAAGTTTAAAGTAATGATTTTTCCTAACAAGGTCCTCAGATTGTTTGTTTCATAGGAAACAGATTAACTCATTTATCTTCATTCCACCAAAATCAGGGTGCCCCATTTGAAATAAGGTCTCCTAAATTACTACACTGATAATTCACAGTTGTATAGTTATGAACAAGTTACAGATTCTCTCTAGGCTAAAATGCAGACAAACCAAGACTTTGAGGTTTCACACTGTCTGTGGTTTCCATAGCAAGACCAAATGGGCTCTGTATAATCCATACTTCCTTCCAGCAGCCTTGATTGATAACCATAAATTTTCTCATTATTTTTAAATGACCACAGCAGAAGATTATGCAGAATATGTGATATTCTTAAAATTGTTCAAGCCTTGAAGAATGTAATCTGTCCTCATTAAGCCTATATAGTATATTAAGCAGCCATAAGTGATGGTTTTCTCCATGCTTCTAAAGACAATAAAAATGTTTTACATACCTATAGCTAAAAATAATTGTCACTCTTAAATACATATTAAATATAGTAACTGTTATTCCTAAATACATATAAAATATCACCCTAAAACTGACCATACATGGCAGTCCATTAGGACATCGATTTTCACCGGTGTGCCTCAAAATTTTTTAAAACAGATCACTGACTATTTAGTCAAAGGCACTGACTGCTTTTCCCTTCCAGTGGTTCTCAACCTTCTGGCCCTTTAAATACAGTTCCTCATGTTGTGACCCAACCATAAAATTATTTTCGTTGCTGCTTCATAACTGTAATGTTGCTACTATTATGAATCTGATATGCAGGATGGTCTTAGGCGACCCCTGTGAAAGGGTCCTTCTTTGGCGGTCGGGACACACAGGTTGAGAACCGCTGGGACTGTCAAATAAAAAAACGACAACAGCCAACACAACAATAGCCATCCAGTGTGAATGAATCAGAATTATACCTATTTTTTGTCAGATTGGCAAAATTTTTTTTGGAGTCCCACAGAATTTTAGTAATTGGCTGAGATGAAAACTGTTGAAAGCCGCTGCTATAGAAGGTAACTCAATCCCAACCAGTCAACACTCTGCAGTCCCCCAGCCCACGTGCACACTCTGGGCAGGGAAGGGATGGATTTAATTGTCCCTCTTCCAGAACCTTACTCGTAATCGCTACTCGCAGACGAATAGGAACTTGAGTCGCTGGCCCTATCTTCACGATAACCATCCTCTTCTTCTTTTTGCGAAGAGGGGTCTCCAGGGAGCCCGGAAGGGCTCTGACACGAACCGCACAGAGCCGAAGTCGCCATCAGTAAGGATGCGGCAGCTGAGAGCAGAATAATTCAAATCCCGCAGCCAGCGCGCATCAGGGCCGCCATGTTTCCTCCGCGAGAGACGCGGCAGAGGCCACGTGACCGCCAATCCTCGGCTGCCATTGGTGGGAGCTCGGGTTGCCAGGGAGACGGGGAAGCTTCCCGGGACAACTACGAAGACTGAGAGGAGCCAATGAGCTGAAACTTCTGGGAGGGCGTGTCGGAGGACTGGAGTAGCTAAAACTTCCCCGCGCGAGGCTCTCCTGAGCGCACTGCTGCGAATCGGATTCACTTACTAAGACAGGTGGAGAACCACTCGGTACCCCCCACCCCATTCCTTCCAGTTTGCCCTTTGTTTCTGCGCCGAAGCTTCAGAGACGCTCAGCCTGCGTTTCCCTTGAGGTAAAGGAAACTGCCTTCCGCCTTTCCTCAGGGCCTCTGCATCTAATCAGGGAATGGAAGCTAAGCAATACCCTCCAGGAGTTCATGTAAATACGCGCCCTCGTTTCTTTGGTATTCTTATTGTTTCGCATTTGCAAATATTTTCACAGTTTTCTCAAGCACATGTTGTAGACTGGTGCTTCACATCAAGGAGAAATGACTAGGTGTGTTTTTTTGTTTAATTTTTCCTCTTACACAAGGCTGAGCTGAAGCAAGAATTGCAACATAAGAGAATAAGTTTTAAGAAATGTTCTTTCACACTAGATATGTTTGAGGTATGTCAACTTCCTTGGCTAATTTATTTCTATATGTTAGTTTAATAGACAAAATGGCCCCCCACACCCAAAGTTACCAGTTACCTTGATTTTTTACAAAAGAAATAAGTAGCAATCATTTAAAATTCTTATTTAAGATTTCAGGGCATGGTATTAGCTAGTCACGTTTCTAACTTTATATGTCATATTTGTACTAACTAAATTAATATTTGGCAACTTTAGGTGTATTGGAGAAGATGAAGAAAGGAAAAGAGTAAGATGCCATTTTCAGGGCCTTTTTAAACAGTACTATTTTTGTCTGTTTCATAATTAGCAATTGCAGGAAGACTTTTTAAAAAAAGAGTTAGACTGGGATATATTTTCATTTTCTATTTTCCACTTTTCAAATGACCAGCCATCTTCTGAGGCCCAAAAATGTTTAGTTTAATAAATATGAGACTTAAAGTTCTTATTTCCATAGATTATCATCTCCACTAGGCAAACAATACAATTCTGACATAAAATACACCAGATAAGAACATAATTAAATATTTAGTGTCTTTAGTAGGTTCAAGAGCTCATTCCCTAGGAGTAATAGAAGCTAGCATTAAGAAGTAAATGAAAACTTTTTTTAAACGTTCTTAGAAACTAATTATTATTGCCTTACTTGTGAACATGGAAATAATAATTCATGAACTATGTGGTAATACTGACAACCATGGCCATTTTGAAAATCATGAATGAATAACTTGATGGGTCAGCAAATTAGCATTTTACACACTGAGATTTACAATGTGGAATTTAAAAAATCTGGGATAGAGTCATAACATGTAAAAATAACATGTTGGCAATCCGATGCTTATAGAACTGCATTATGATCAGAAATTCTCATTTGCCTATATGAAAATTGAATTACCTGTAAAAATGTTTTAAGATCATGCATTCTCCATTTGAATAATAACAGAATACAGATGAGAATCCAGGAGTAAACCGAAAAGTAACTAAAGTAGATGGCACAAAGCTCAAGCCCCAAGCCCTTCATTTACTCCTATGTATACTGATTTGATATTTTCATTTACAAATTATAATAAATTCAGTGAAATGTTGTGCTGTCAGACATCAGTAGCTGCCAACCAGAAGGAAGGGAGGCCTCCTTCAAACAGGAATACAACAGTAGCAGAAATTGTTGATGGCTGACAATCTGCCAATGAAAAGGAAAGTAAAAAACCAAAGCAACACAAGAATTTTTTTTAAAAAGTCATAGCTGATAAATGAGTACCAAGTGCTCTCAGTAGCACCTAAAAAAAAAAAAAAAAGTCACTGCATTGTGGAACCTTACAGTAATTTGATAACAACTGTGAAAATGTTTGCCAATCTGTTAAGTGCCCTGCATTCCCCAGTCAGAGGAGCCAGGTTCTTATCCTGATTCTGGTACTAAACCAAGTGGACATGGACAGTTTCCTCACCTGAAGACAGCGAAAAGAATCCACACCTACTATGCAGCATTGCTAAGAACCAAATGAGACACCCCTTGGAATCTCATGCCTTACATGTATGCTACATGTTATATATTTTTAAAGTTTTGATTCTATTTATTTTAATTTTTACTTTTTGAGTTTAAAAGGATATTTTATTCATCAGAAATATTGCCTAGTGGGGTACACTTTTTACCCCGAGAGTTTCGGATATTTGAGGTATCTTAAATATGCACATTTTGCTGTTGACCAAAGTATATTTAGGTTCATCAGACATTTTCAGAGGCTCACCTCTAGCTCACTTTCCCTGCTAGCTTAGGCATCAGAATACACCAGCACTGCAGCCTGGACCAGCACCATTCGTTAGCCAGTAGACTTTGGGCAAAGTCCCTTAGCTGAATTTTCTTTTTTTTGTTTGTTTGTTTGTTTTGTTAATCCTCACCCAAGGATATTTTTCCATTGATATTTAGAGAGAGTGGAAGGGAGAGGGAGAGATAGGGAAAAACATCAATGTGAAAGAGTCACATTAATTGGTTGCCTCCTGCATGCACCCTGACCAGGGTCAGGGAACGTGCAACCAAGGTACATGCCCTTGACCCGGGATCGAACCCAAGACCCTTCAGTCCTTGGGCTGATGCTCTATCCACTGACCAAAACCAGCTAGGGCCCTTAACTGAATTTTCTTAGAGCCTTTAGGAATAGCTATCTTTTGTGCTTTGTTTTAATATTTTAGAACAGTTGTTAAAATAATCCCTTATTTCCACAGGACTTTAATTTTTTTAGAGCACTTATATATCATTAGAAATTCACACTACCACCCTGTAAGGTGGATATTCTCTCTTCATATTACTGAAAGAAACGGAAAATATAGACAAATTAAATATCTTGCCAAGTCACACAACTAGTTTGAAATACGATTCCAAGGGAATGATTAAATTGCAATAGCCTTGTGCATACTTTTTTAAATCTTTGCAAAATACTGAGTGCTATTTGGGTACTTCTTATAATCAATATGACAGATATATGTTAATTTACATAAGTAAAAGTAACTGAGAAGTGCAATTTTCCCTGACTCAGACAACATATATATAATTTTTTATCAAAAAGCAGGATAGCTGAACATGTTTTTGCCAAGCTACTGTTATTTTAGTATTGACATATTTTGAAGCTAACACCACATGCAACTTTACTTCAATTTTGGTTTGGCTGAAGTATCTTCTTCAAAAGCACAGCAATTTAATCCTTTACATTTTAAAAACCGTATTTGTAACAGAAAATACACAAGTAATGAAAAAGTAAACACTCAGAAGACATCCTTCAAATAAGATGTAAAAATCAAGTAGAATAGTCTGCTAGTTTTTCTTGTCTATACATTTTTTTATGACTCAAGGCTGCTGGTCTCTTCAATGCAATTCCCAACATTTTGTGGATATTCTTTCAAGGGATGTTTTAAAGGAAAAACATTTGTAAAACTGATCTGAAAAAAAAACCACATAGGCCATGCACTGGACTAGACAATGAGAACTATAGTGAATAGATGAATATGGCTTAGAGGTTATCTAATATCTCTAAATTCTATTATGTTTATATTTATATACAACAAGCAAAACATATTTGAACTTGTGTGAAAATATAGCTTCATTAAATGAAAAAGAAATGTTTATTGTTGTATCAATAATTTTAACTGTGCTTGAAAACATTAAATAACATAAAGAACCACTGATAAAAATAATGCATTGCAAAAAAGTTTTCATGTACTGTTAAAAATGATACCAACAAACACATTTATGATTTCTGATTCCATGGGTTCCTATAGCATGTGGGAGCAGTTATTTGTAAATCAGATAAAGTAACTTCATTTACTGAGCAGGTTTATTCCAGAAACACTCCACTCCTTCTGAAATAATCATCTCAGTCTTGATTACTGCCGTTTAAACATATTGTTTTGCCCTGGTTCATTCAGACAGGTTTGTGCCTTGGATCTGAAACACTGTAGCGTTAATCAGTTCAGAATTTTTTTGGCACTTGACATTGAAAACATGAAGAAATTATGTTACAGGAGGGTTTTAAGCTTCTAAAACAAACAGCCTTCCCAGCTTTATCAAAGTCACACTGTGCATGAGTTGCTAGTTAATACTAAGGGGGATTATTTCTGGACTGTAATTTTATCAAATGCAGGGGAAACCGTCTTTGGGGATTTAGCAGAATCCTCTTTTAGCTGTCCACTTGATAATATTTTATTATATATGGCAGGGGTTCTCAGGGAGAGGGAGGAAGGAAACCAACTGTGGAAAATTGTGGGTTTCAGAAGACAGCTTTTAAATATAAGGGCCCCAATTCCTTCCTTGCACAATGTCTTTCTTTTTTACTCGTTCTTCCTACAGTACAGGGTTTCTACAGCTCATATGGTTTTGTACAAAGACTTAAAAGGGTCACTTGAAACGTTTACAGATGAGAGAACTCACATAAACCTCCCCCTGACAGTTACTAAGCGCCACTTACTCTTTTCTCGTCACAAATGTATTCAAGAGATACTTTCGCTACATTTCTACAAGAGTTTTCCCCATATAATGTCTTAAGAAGGCCAGCCTTTGCTAGGGTTAAAGCAGCATTAATTTCCTTGGCACTTCATCCCTCCTCTCAATCTTAAAATGGAAAGAGAATTTGCTTACCATGTGGATTCGTATTTCTTTCTTTTCTATACACTCATCACCGTTACCATGGGGTTTAATATGCCAGTCTATTTTGCATAAAGTATAAGGTTGGACAGTAAATTAATACGCTAGCAGTCTATGGAGAGTTGGGGTTCTCATCCCTCTGGAACTCCTGATTTCTTTTGTGTAGTTA